AAACCTACACTTAAACTCAGCTCATAACTGCGTAAAAACACCTTTTACAAACCAATTGCAAATGTTTTATTGAAAGTGTAACATTTGAATGCAATTAACAAATTATATAATACAATTAAGTATAAAGTGATGTGCCAAAAGTGAATGCCAAAATGTTAGATTGAGTCTCCACGCCACGAATAGCAGATCCAACCCCGTTATGTCTGGTAGGCTACCTGCTAAACACCAAGACTGCTTACGAAATCACATACTTCCCTACCATATAGTAGGCGAAAAACAGTATATCACAAAATTATTATGTCCGAATTCACAGTAGGCTCATAAAAGAGTAGGGGTAAAAAATCCCTGATGATCTACTACTTCCGGTGAGATTCTGAAGAGTGCATAAGATTGACACTTTACTATCCCATGAGGCCACGGGAGAGGATTTATGAATGGCAGTGAAGCGACGCAACTGGTAGATCACATGATAATGACAACATTTTGGATGTATACGTCTAGATTATATGCATACTATATAGAACGTACTGTTTTAGCAGTCGTGAAGTAATTACTTATTCAAAATAAGTACCTACCTACGTAGCCAAAGCCTTGTGTGGTACCTAGAAATTGGTGTTTTACTGCATTTGGTCTTGTACCCAAAACTGTATTAAAAGTCTTCTATCAGCACCAGAGGCAAAATGGAGGAAGCAGGGAAGAGCAGAAAGCAGGAGACATTGGAATGATGGTAAAATGAGCAGAGTTTATTGAATAATCTTGCGTGTTTATTGAATAATCTTATGTAAGACTTCGTCTGACCAGCACAAATACAACAAGTGTTATTATACCACAAGCAATAGTGGTGTAAATTACTGATTCTCAACGTCATCCTGTGATGTAAAACCCTTGAAATGGAGACATTCTCATTTCTCTTACTCATGAAGACAAATATCCCTTGAAACAAAAAAATTGTATAATTAAACAACAATGGAAAAATAATAAAATGACAGATCAATGAAATGAGTATATAAATGGTTTAAATGATTATTATAAATGATTACGATTAAATTGAATAATAAAAGTAGATAAATGAATTAATGAACATAAAAAAGAAAGAAAAGAAAACACAAATGTGTTGTGATGACTCCTTGGATCCTTCACCTCTAAGACCCTTTTCATTTGGCACAACTGTGGTTACACCAGCCCTACAGCGACTGTATATAAAGCCAACTACTGAAAATCATATGAGACACCAGCATTACATATCTAGCCCTGCGAGCAGATTGTGTTCATGTGATACATTTTTCATAATACAACCCGAATTCCGGAAAAGTTGGGACGTTTTTTTAAATTTGAATAAAATGAAAACTATAAGACTTTCAAATCACATGAGCCAATATTTTATTCACAATAGAACATAGATAACATAACAAATGTTTAAACTGAGAAATTTAACACTTTTATCCACTAAATGAGCTCATTTCAAATTTGATGCCTGCTACAGGTCTCAAAATAGTTGGGACGGGGGGAACAAATGGTTGAAAAAGCAAAAAATTTAGAAAGGATTCAGGTGGGAGAACATCTAGCAACTGATTAAGTTCATTTATATCAGGTCTGTAACATGATTAGCTATAAAAGGGATGTCTTAGAGAGGTAGAGTCTCTCAGAAGTAAAGATGGGCAGAGGCTCTTCAATCTGTGAAAGAGTGCGTAAAAAGATTGTGGAACACTTTAAAAACAATGTTCCTCAACGTCAAATTGCAAAGGCTTTGCAAATCTCATCATCTACAGTGCACAACATCATCAAAAGATTCAGAGAAACTGGAGAAATCTCTGTGCGTAAGGGACAAGGCTGAAGACCTTTATTGGATGCCCGTGGTCTTCGGGCCCTCAGACGACACTGCATCACTCATCGGCATGATTGTGTGAATGACATCACTAAATGGGCCCAGGAATACTTCCAGAAACCACTGTCGGCAAACACAATCCGCCGTGCCATCTCCAGATGCCAACTAAAGCTCTATCATGCAAATAGGAAGCCATATGTGAACATGGTCCAGAAGTGCCGCCGTGTCCTGTGGGCCAAGGCTCATTTAAAATGGACTATTTCAAAGTGGAAAAGTATTCTATGGTCCGACGAGTCCAAATTTGACATTCTTGTTGGAAATCACGGACGCTGTGTTCTCCGGGCAAAAGAAGAGGGAGACCTTCCATCGTGTTATCAGCGTTCAGTTCAAAAGCCAGCATCTCTGATGGTATGGGGGTGCATAAGTGCATACGGTATGGGCAGCTTGCATGTTTTGGAAGGCACTATAAATGCTGAAAGCTATATAAAGGTTTTAGAGCAACATATGCTCCCCTCCAGACGATGTCTATTTCAGGGAAGGCCTTGTGTATTTCAGCAGGACAATGCAAAGCCACATACTGCAGCTATTACAACTCCATGGCTACATCGTAGAAGAGTCCGGGTGTTGAATTGGCCTGCCTGCAGTCCAGATCTTTCACCTATAGAGAACACTTGGCGCATCATTAAACGACAAATGCGTCAAAGACGACCACGAACACTTCAGCAGCTGGAAACCTATATAAGGCAAGAATGGGACCAAATTTCAACACCAAAACTCCAGACACTCATAAACTCGATGCCCAGACGTCTTCAGACTGTTTTGAAAAGAAGAGGAGATGTTACACCATGGTAAACGTGCCCCCGTCCCAACTATTTTGAGACCTGTAGCAGGCATCAAATTTGAAATGGGCTAATTTATTAGATAAAAGTGTAAATTTTCTCAGTTTAAACATTTATGTTATCTATGTTCTATTGTGAATAAAATATTGGCTCATGGGATTTGAAAGTCGTATAGTTTTCATTTTATTCAAATTTAAAAAATGTCCCAACTTTTCCAGAATTCGGGTTGTAACAAAAAAACAAAAAACAAAAAAGGAATAGCATACAGTGGTCTCCGAAAGTTTTTGGACACTTTAGTCACACAAAATTCTGCATTTCATTGCATTAGTTACAAAATAACAGAAGTGCAATCAGCAAACAAAAGATGCTAGAGCTCTTCTTAGGAGTAACTTAACTTTTCAGAGACACGTTTTCCAAAAATTTTAAGCAATGGTCTATAGGGCCCTGTTTACACCTGTTATTAATGCTGCCTTCATATGCTATCAGAATCAATCTCGTAAATACGAGTTCCAGTTAAAAAAATGTAACATGAAAGCCCTGGGCATGAACTGGGAAGCTCTGAATAATTTTGATTCCCAAGTTCCCAAGTTGAATTTTTATATGATTGTCAATGAATGAGATGCTAAATATCATTTTGGCTTTTGTAAGATTTTCCCAATAAATAGGCAAGAATAAACCTGGTGTCCTCCATGATTTCTGTTCTCTCCGACAACAAAGCACTCGAATGCAACAAGCTTGTAATCACAACTTCAGAAGTGGGAAGAATTAGATGCGTTTTGGTATATCGGATCACAAGTGGACGTAAATGGGATCCAAAACATTTTGAGCTTATCCACTTTTGAGTAAAACGCATTCAACCGGATTGCTTTCGTATAGAGTAAACAACACTCATGTGATCGAATGCGTTCAAACAGCCACAAAAGACCATCTACTCTCCGCCTACTGACCTAATGCATAAACATTATGGGAAGAGCTCGAGCCAGATGGGATTTTAAACCTTGGCTGGAGACCCAAGTTTGGTTTGAAGACGAAAAATGTACCAAGCATAATGTTCTCTCATCATTCCTGATTTCGGCTGGTCTTGAGTCTGTCAAAGCAGAAACTAAAGCTGCTGATCTCCGTGTGTTTTTCCGTCTTTCTGGCAGTGTTCATCTGTGAATTGCGTGAGTTTATTTCTTCCATTAGATTGAAAGATCTGAAAAAGCCCATACATTTGCCCACCCATAGACCCTCCCCTTGAAGAAATCAGGACAGAAGTGGTTAAAAGTGGACAAAAGAGACGGGTTAAAACACCAGGGCCCGTATTCATAAAGATTCTAAGAATCCTTTCAGAAAACTCTTAATTTAGCTTAAAAACGTTTACGTAGGAGTCTTAGCTTAAGAGCGATTTGGGACCGATCTGAGAGCAACTCTGAGTAAGGAAAAGACAAAAACTTCATCTTAGTGAGGAGGCGGGGAGCTTATAGTGCAAATGATTAACGGTTCATTGCCCTGCTTGTGCGCACCAGGGAAGCCTGCTATATTCATAAATGCAGTTTTTTGAGCCTGCAAGGTGGGAATGTCCAGTGGAAACTAAATGAAATACGACACAATAAGAGGTTCTGAAAGTGCTGTAATTGTTTGTGTGATCACTGCTTACAGAAGGTTGTGACAGACCCAAATCACTGCTGCTTCATTGCATTTTCCCATTCGCCAAATATCTTAATGTAGTGATAACTTTCATTTCTGGCGTTATGGCATTCCTGCGCTGTCTGAGATATTAGTGTGTCTCTAATAAGATCAGTCACAAACATGATCCCTGCACGATCTCATCTATAGCGTCTTATTAACTCACTGTCATCTATTGTCTGCAACACACTTCTCCTTCCTCTTCGTCTTTCTGCCATTTTCTCCTCTGCTAAAGAAACTTTTAAGCCTCTTAAAAGTCCTCATCCGTACTCCTAACAATTTTGACCTTAAGACCTCTTTTAAGGGTTAAGATGCTTTCTGAATTACTTTTTTCTTTACTAGGATTTTTTCTTTAATTTTAAGAGTAAACGCCCACATTTTTAAGAATTTTCTTAGAATTTTGACTCTAGGAGCTACTCTTTGCATTAAGATTCTTTATGAATACGGGCCCAGGTGTAAACATGAATGTGTCACCTATATTAATACAGGTGTAAACAGGGCCTACGTCCTTAATGCTACATTCACTTTCATGCCATGTCCTAGCAGAACCTTAATCGACATAGTTCATTATATATTACATATTCATTACACAAAATTTGACAGCCATAGATTTTCTTGACTTTGAACAATACCTATAAATGTTTTAAAATCTAGAAATTTAAACACTCTTTTTGTGAAGTGTTTTGAAAAGGGTACGTGAGCTATATTTTTTTAAACTGACACTTTTTTACTACACTTTTAAAACTACATTTTTAACAGAAATTATTCATCCTCTTGTTCAACATCACACAGAGACATTGAATTAGTATAAAGCACAAATCCTGCATAGAGGGGTTCAGTGAATGTGGTGTTGAATGTGTGTAAGTGTCTGAGTGCGTGTGTGTCAGAGATGCTGTAGAAGGACAGAATGCCGGCCGGCTCGTCCACATACACTCCTACTCTGTTTAAGGGAGGTGATGGAGGAGGTATGCGTGTTCCCATATTATCATGCCAGGCGATCAGTTTCTCCCCAAAGCAGCTCAGAATCCAGGATTTGTCATTGGCTCCGAACCTACAGTCAGGACTTTCTCCTTTCCTGTTGATTCCTTTATATGACACTACCATATCACCCAAACCACTCCATTCAGCCTCCCAGTAACAGCGTCCAGTCAGACGCTCTTTACACAGAACCTGCGGAAGGCCGTCAAATCTCTCTGGATGATCAGGATGTGACATCGTTTCTGGATTACATACCAACTTTTTGTTGCCCTCTACAACGGAGAGACCATTGTTTACCGTGTTTGGATCCAGTCTGAGATCAAAGAAATCTGCACACAAGAAAACAACATTAATAAGATCCCAAAATATGTTCAAGAATCAGATTGGCCTTGGATCTACTTTTTGCCTCCACATAAATATTTTTGACAGCATGTACACAGTCAAAACATTTTATATTTAATAACTTATTCTGGTCTATTGTAAAATGGTGTCCTGTGAAGAAAAGGCATGTGTTTAGACCTACATTTTTGTAGTCCTCCTTTAATCATGGTCTCTCCCCCATGATCCAGACTGTCGAAGAAAAAAAAAGCATAATGTGCCATATTCTATTCATCGGACTCATCAAAAAGGAAGAAATAAGTCGTAAAAATACAACAGAACAAATTTTCACTCATGTCTATGCTAATAACTTTTGAAGAAAAGTATTTTTTCCTCTGATTCCGTGGCTCATGACAAATCGATTGCACCATATGATTTTTGTTTCATATTCACCATATGATATTTTCTGTCATGAATTTTTCCATCATTTTGATGTTTTGTCCATTTTTCCATTTCTGTAATCATATTCAGAGTAGACTGCTAGCAAAAAGTTACAAAAAGAGTCGAACAATACCAAATTGTCCCATGTTAGCCATTTTGGGCATTGGCCATTTTGAATTTTGTCATAAAATGCTGTATTTTAAGAAAGCTTTAGCATATTGTTACGAAAGTTGATTTGTGTCTTCAGCACTATGCCCTGAAACATTATGCTCTTTTGGGCCGGATAAAATAAAATATGCTCATAGCATGGGTCTTCAGAATCCAGTGGTATATTTTTCAACAGTCATTTAAAATTTCACACATCATCATGAGACCATGCTGGTAAAGAGTTATATATTTAGGTATTTATCTCAAACCATTTTTATATACGGTAACTCTTTGTCAAATTTATCAAGGCAAAGCATAGTATTTTATGCAATAGGTATTGGAAATGCTAACATGAATCCTTGCCATGCTCGCTTAGCTCATCACTTTGCTTCTGATGCGCTTGGCCCAATAACCCATTTTTAATCCAAACAAGTAGCCACATACATTTGAATGAAGTTACACACTGAAATGTCATTCAAAATGAGACCTTGTCAACACTAATAAGTTTTCGTTTGAAAACGCATCTTTTTTTCTCCGTTTTGGCCTTCCGTCCACACTGAAGACAGCATTTTTATTAATGAAAACAACGATTTTTGAAAACGCTCTCCAAAATAGATAAATTTGACGTTTTCGCATTGTAGTGGGGACTGTAAAACCGAAGGCATTTAAAAACGAAGAGGTAAGTTTAGTCACGTGACTCATATTGTACCAATAGATATTCATGTTTATACCAGTATTGTGCCTGTTATGTGCTATTCACTTTCACACAGTTGCTAAAATATGTTACTTTGCACACTCTTTTTATCACAGTCCTGCAAAGATGACAGAATATACTCACATTTGCTGTCTTGCGGCAAAACATGAGAGCAGTTTCGTTTTAGACCAAACATATGGTGAATGAGTGCGACCTGGACACTTCAGTGAAAGGTGAGATATTTAATAAAGTTATCTTTTCAGAGGAATTGCGCGATAACTTATTTATTTTTCCGTCTGTATCATCTCAGTGAGCTTTTGTGAGGGTTTACGCTTGTGCAGTAAAGTGAATTTAGCGTTTTCTGACGTTTTAGTGTGGACGAGAGACTTTTGGAAAACTCTTGAAAATGCTGGACAGAGCGTTTTTTTAAACGAAAACGCCATTTTCAAATGTGTCCGGATTAACGTAGCCTGGATTGAGTTGTTTAAACCTTTGATAATCTGATAAAAGTGAAGGTAGGCAATTTTTTTAACAGATTTTTTTTTTTTTATATACAGGGGTGCGTTTCCCATACAACAACGTAACTCGATGCTTCCACTACCGATAGTGCGATGCATCGTTGAAGAAATCAACTAGCTAGTCACGACTGTTTCCCGAAACCATATTGTCGCAAAGTGGTTGTTCAACCACGTTGGTTTATAACGTCATGCACGTGGTGGAGCAATCATTTCTTTTGATGAAAATGTTTGAGATCGAATTAATGCTAGATGTTTTGATATAGATTACAGACATGGCATCTGAGGACTGTTTGTAATTTTTCTCAGTTATTTCGCTTTATTTCCAGATTTAATCATAGGCTCCTTCTTACATAGTAGAGCACATTCGCACATGCGCAGTCTTTGAAAACGGTGCTTTAAATATCTTGACAAACTCAAAGTTGTAAATTACATTTGTATGTATTTTAAATAAAAGACACAGGTTGTACTTAATGTCAGCTTGCTTATTTTGCTCAAGATACGGATTTATTAAGTCCACATGTCATGCAATCTAGAAACTCTGCTTCTAACCACAGCTCAAAAGCTGTCGTTCCAACCACACAAATTTGCGTTGCTGTTTGCGAATGTTCGTTGGAACGATGGTTTTGGGAAACACCGACTCGTTGAACTATGCTGATAACGAAAACTTGCGACCCTAGTTGGCTAACAATGCTTTAGGGAAATACACCCAAGGTTGAAAGTCTCTTCACATCCTGATAACAATCAAAAATTAAAGTGGTCTAAATAGATAGATAACAATTGAAAGGGAATTTCTCATTATGAAATTAATGTTTTTCTTTAGTTAACATTGGCCACAATTATTGGCACACAATTATAGGAACGTCCTTTTCCCAAGATAACAGCTCTGAGTCTTCTTCTATAATGCCTGATCAGTTTGGAAAACACCTGACAAGAGATCAAAGACCATTCCTCCATACAGAATCTCTCCAGATCCTTCAGTTTCCCAGGTCCATGCTGGTGCTTCTCTTGAGTTCACCCCACTCATTTTCTATAGGATTCAGGTCAAGGACTGGAATGGCCAATCCAGAAACCTAATTTTTTTGCTCAGTGACACATTTTTTGTGTTGATTTTGATGGGAAATTTTATCATTGTCCTGATGGAAGATCCCATCACAGCCCATTATAAGATTTCTAGCAGAAATGGCCAGGCTTTGATTTTTTATCTGTTGGTATTTGCTAGAATCCATGATAACATGTCTCTGAACAAGATGTCCAGGACCTCCAGCAAAAAAATAGGCCCACAACATTGACGATTTTGAATATTGAACATTGAATCTTTTACCGTGGGCATTGGGTACTTTTTATCCCTGTTTGCACCAAAAAGCTAATTTTTGTAAGTTTTATCTGACCACAGAAACCAGTCCTGTTTGAAGTTCCAGTACTGTCTGAAAAAACTGAATATACTGGAATTTGTTTATGGACAACTTGTGGTGATGTAGGGGCTGTTTGATACATTTTTCTTAGGCTTTCTGAGCCCAAGACTCAGCTAATCTCTGCAATTCTCCATTTGCGATCCTTGGAGAGTTGTTGGCCACTCAAGCTTTCCTCCTCATTATGCATTAGGACGATATAGACACACGTCCTCTTCCAGGCAGATTCATAACAGGTCTAGTTGATTGGAACTTCTTAATTATTGGCCTAATGGTGGAAATGGGGATTTTTTAATGCTTTAGCTATTTTTTTACAGCCACTTTCTATTTTGTGAGGCTCAACAATCTGCACATCAGAACTACAATCTTTGGTTTTACTCATTGTGATGAATGATTAAAGGAATTTGGCCTTTGTGTTTATATACACTCACCTAAAGGATTATTAGGAACACCTGTTCAATTTCTCATTAATGCAATTATCTAATCAACCAATCACATGGCAGTTGCTTCAATGCATTTAGTGGTCCTGGTCAAGACAATCTCCTGAACTCCATTTTGGGATTTTCACGCACAACCATTTCTAGGGTTTACAAAGAATGGTGTGAAAAGGGAAAAACATCCAGTATGCGGCAGTCCTGTGCGCGAAAATGCCTTGTTGATGCTAGAGGTCAGAGGAGAATGAGCCGACTGATTCAAGCTGATAGAAGAGCAACTTTGACTGAAATAACCACTCGTTACAACCGAGGTATGCAGCAAAGCATTTGTGAAGCCACAACACGCACAACCTTGAGGCGGATGGGCTACAACAGCAGAAGACCCCACCGGGTACCACTCATCTCCACTACAAATAGGAAAAAGAGGCTACAATTTGCAAGAGCTCACCAAAATTGGACAGTTGAAGACTGAAAAAATGTTGCCTGGTCTGATGAGTCTCAATTTCTGTTGAGACATTCAGATGGTAGAGTCAGAATTTGGCGTAAACAGAATGAGAACATGGATCCATCATGCCTTGTTACCACTGTGCAGGCTGGTGGTGGTGGTGTAATGGTGTGGGGGATGTTTTCTTGGCACACTTTAGGCCCCTTAGTGCCAATTGGGCATTGTTTAAATGCCACGGCCTACCTGAGCATTGTTTCTGACCATGTCCATCCCTTTATGGCCACCATGTACCCATCCTCTGATGGCTACTTCCAGCAGGATAATGCACCATGTCACAAAGTTTGAATCATTTCAAATTGGTTTCTTGAACATGACAATGAGTTCACTGTACTAAAATGGCCCCCACAGTCACCAGATCTCAACCCAATAGAGCATCTTTGGGATGTGGTGGAACGGGAGCTTCGTGCCCTGGATGTGCATCCCACAAATCTCCATCAACTGCAAGATGCTATCCTATCAATATGGGACAACATTTCTAAAGAATGCTTTCAGCACCTTGTTGAATCAATGCCACGTAGAATTAAGGCAGTTCTGAAGGCGAAAGGGGGTCAAACACAGTATTAGTATGGTGTTCCTAATAATCCTTTAGGTGAGTGTATACATTAATAGTGTGTTTATATAGTGTGGGAATATTCCTCAGAGATATTTTACTCATAAGAATTTGTAGGGGTGCCAATAATTGTGGAGGAATTGGAGAAAAACATTTATATCAATGTGAGTTTCTCCCCACTTTCAATTGTTTTACTTCAATGAAAGGTTAGAATTTTGTGATTTTTTTGGATGAAAGATTAAAAGGATAAATAATGCAGATTTATTAATGCGATCCAACGCCTGATCCTGAATTCAGTTCTCTTTGCGCCTGAATGTTGAAATACAGACAAAGTTGTAAATTAAATCTTGCGTACCGTAAAACTTCAAGTAATAGCCCGGGCTTTTATTTTCCCAAATCGTCGAACTGCACCGGCTTGTATTTGAGACAGGCGCCTATATGAGACAGGCCTTTATAATTTAGTGTTGAGATGTTGTTCATTGAGTGTAGGCCTAGAGTCTCTAATCTCTAAAAATCTCCAAATGCTCCACGTGAAACTGCGGTCTTCCGACCTT